GTTCCCAGCAGCTGCCCATCCAAAGACGACCGCTGAACATGCTTAGGCTCGGGTGTTACTTATGTGTTGGGAGGGCGGGTGGGGGTGAGCTAGACGGCTGGCTATCCAGGGGCTGCCTTGAACCTGTCTCCCTACCCCCTACCCTGGACCTGGACGTGGGGGCGGCGAGGGGTTGGAGCGTCCAAGATGGCCCAAGACGGCTCCAAGAGGGCCGCTGAGTCCCAGATGAGGTCCATGATGGCTCAAGAAGGCGCACGATGCCTCAAGATGGCTTCAACGATGCTCCAAGAGGCCTCAAGAACGTTCCAAGACGGCTCCAAGAGGCCTCCGAAACCTCGAGGAAGGCCCCCAAGGAGCCAAAATCCTTCAAACATTCCTGGAGCATCAATGGTGTTTGCTTTTTCGCCTTTTCGCTTCCATTGGCCATCCGAGGCCTCAAGATGGCTCCAAGATGGCCCAAGAGAGCCCCGTGAGAGGCCCAAGAGAGCCTCAAGGCGGCCCCCAGAGCGCCCAAGAGCGCCCCAAGAGCGCTCCAAGAGGGGTCCAGGAGGCGATGGTCGGTGCTCCCGAGGTTGGAGGATAGTTGAAGCTCCCCTCTTTTTTTTATCGATGTCCTCCAGGATGGCCCCAAGAGCGCCCCTGAAGCCCCCAAGAGCGCCCCAAGATGGCCCACGAAAGCGCCCAGACGGCCCCAAGAGGCCTCCAAGAGGCTCCCAAGATACCCCATACGAGGCCTCAAGAGGATCCCCGAGGTACCCAACTCTCCCTCGTTCTCCTCCTTCTCATCCTTCTCGTCCTCCTCGTGCTCGCCCTACTCCACATCCTCCTCCTCCTCCTCCTCCTCCTCCTCCTCCTCCTCCTCATCCGACGACGACGACGACGACGACGACGACCCCCCTTGGGGCATAAGACGGCTTCCCCCGCCCTTTGTTCTTCCGCATGCTTCCCCGATTCCCTGATCACCTCAACTCCCCTGGGCATCATTTCTGGATGGGCTGGTGCGGATACTTTTTGTCGCACTCGCAGGCGTGTCTAGGCAAGACGAGGAATAGCACAGAGTACTAGGGTCGGTCATGGTCATTCCACATGGCCGACCGCAGATAATCAAGAGGACGCCTGACCAAACCGTCAGACGTCCAAGCGCGCGGTGTGGCAAAAAGATGCCTGACCGAACTGTCAGGCATCAAATATGTGTGGTTGAGCGAAAAAGAGAAAATCCGTGTCCGAGCTGATACTGATGTACTGCTCGTGTCCGAGCATGCGTTGGCTATACCCGCTAGCCTTGACTGGGCCATGGCTACGTTTGTGCTGCTGTGTTGCCTCGGTACGCATACCTCTCTAGCTCGTACTTGAATGGCTGTATTCCTTCCACGACTTGCAGTAGCAGCTCACGATCAATACACCCTTTGGCATGACCGTCGGCTGTCACATCCCGCGCATCACCCCACTGCGCGCTGCGAACGATTCCTCGACCCATCACTTGTCGGATCCAGCCGATATATCCTAGCAAGGTACATTCGGTTGATTTCTTCAGATCCTTATAGGGACTTGAAAAGCGATTCGGCGTCCAAGGCGAGGAATTATTTTTATGCTTAGACCACCGATCTCTAACTGAGATGTTCTTGAGTTGCGTTGGCGTCAGCGGTCCAGCCTTGAGCTCGCGCAGTGTCACAATGTCAGGGTAGCAGTTTTCCAAGTTACGAACTGCTGCTAAGGTTTCAGCCGAGTAGCTGGAGCGCACCTGCAAGCGGCGCGACACGCAGCGAGCGTCGATCAGGCGCGCGACCGCCCCACCGCAAGGAGCGCGCCCGCGCGGCAAAGGGTTGGCCCCTCGGACGCCACGCCCCTCAGCCGCGTCATCGGCCCCGCCGTTGAGGCGAAGATCACCGGAATCGCTGCGTAGGTCCACTCCTCCTGTCGGAGTCATAAATTTGCATATGCTTCCTTTGGACCCGATTATAGTCTGCGCGTCACGGCATTGGGTCTTCGCGCTCGTAAGTCGGCGTTTTCTTGGGCACGCTGCAGTGGGACCACGTATACCATCAACCACACTTGCGTGATCAACGCATACGCTAAAGCACCACGTAGGCTGATGAACATATCAGACATTGTCGTCGTCGCCTTATCTTCTGCTTCAGCGACAATGCGTTCTGGGTGCTGTACGGGGCGAAATTATTTAGTCTTGTAATCCTGATTTAGTCGGGCGCGGCCGCCCTCGGTCTTGGCGCAGCGTACGCCGCAGTCTGCGCATATGATTTTGTTGATCTACATGCGCCGAACGCGCTCCCTACACACTTGACGCACTTGTTAATCGTACCATCAACTCCTTTCATATGTGCGTCGTCACCGCGCTTGGCCGTTGGGAGGTCTGGGTTCGTCTCAAACCCATCATCGCATGAGGTGGGTTCAAGCACAAAACCTCCCGCGATGGTTCTGAATTCAAGTCAGACTGCCCCAGGGGCATCGGTGGCGCCCGCGCCTGGCCCCGGGCACCGCAAGCAGCGCCTTCATTCACCATGAGACGCGAAACCAGGCAACGCGCGCGACACCAGACACAGGCGGGAGAGCGAAGCAGAACATGCACTCTCTCTCTCTCTCTCTCCACTGGTTTTACGATAGGCCAAGCAATTCAAGTAGGATTTGTCGATGTCCACGGGAGCTATGATCCATGACTTCTCGAGCGCGGCCGCGCTCGCGAGCGGTCTCCGATTTGCTCGGCGAACAGTGCCTGAAAAGGTGTCTACATCGAAAGCTTCGACGTCAATGAAGCCAAGAATAACAGGCGGAGTCTCATGGCCCCGTCCGTCTCGCCTTTGTCGTTCTTCGCGAACCTCAATTTGCGCGCATATCTGGATGTCAGAATGCCACTGGCATGTTCAATATCCTGCATCTCGAAGCACTTGTTGCGCCCGCTTGGCCGCATTCGCCTGCATTCCGGCCTTCGTCAAGGCCGCCACCCTTGACGACCGCAGCTCTCTCGGTTGCGGCTGGCACATACACGCGCGCAGCGGTTATCTGGCCGCTGCGAAATGAATTGCGCCGCTGCTCCGCCAAGACAACTTCGGCCCTGTCAGGCGCAAAGCTCTACATGCGGACCGTGTTAGTCCGAGTCCAACTTGTATGTTTTGTGTTATTCGGTGATACATGGCGCTAAGAATGTCTCGACGGCGCCAACGCGGCGATCACGGCCTACTTCGCGCAAGCGCCCTTGCTCTTCACTGGCATGGTTGTCGGAAACGATGTCTGCGGGCACTGCGACAAGTCTAGAAGTTGAAATGCGACCGTCTCGAGTAATCCCTTTTCTCCCTCTTCTTCTTGTACACAGTTTCCGTGATATGCGCTTCTATGTCCATGTCCGACTCCTCATCAGTAGCCTGGAGCCCACCATCGAGCGCGGCCGGGGCAAAGGGGCGCTCTTCCCAGCGAGCGTTGCCGCCCGATGCTGGCGCGCCCGCTAGTTCCTCAAACTTAGATCGGGCTTCGTCGGAGTCTGCGAGACGTTGTGAGGATTCGAGGCGATGGGTGATACGTGCATGTGTAGATCCACTGATGCAATAAATCGTAAAGGCTGCGCCTTCGGATTCGCAATAACGAAACCCTGGCGCAGGGTCAATACTTGGCAGTGAACAACTGTCAGCACATGGTCATGCAGGTAACCAGTGGATGCTCTTAGCAGGGCGCACTGCCACTACAGGTTCTAGTCGGGAGTAGTTCCTGATAAGAGGCTGCAAGGCTACATGTACATCAAGCGAGAGTCTACTCGACGTGGTCATCCGCAAATTTCCTTGCTTGGTCGGCAGGCAGCCGAATACCGCCGCGGGTCCCCCATAGCCGATGAAGGCCAACAATGCGCGCGCAGCCGCTGCATCGTAGCCGATCTCGCGGACCATAAAATACTCCCACATACAGTATGCGACGTAAGTCGGGATACTGCACAATGACTTCTCGACCGCCGATCTGCACTCACGCCTGACCTCGGTCCGGGTAGTTACGGACGACGGTGCATGGGCCAGTCCATCCACCCCAGTCGTCCTTTGAGGTGGTCGGGCGGTGGTGATCCACGTGGTCACCAGGCTGATAGTTGTAGTGTCCTGAGCTTTTGTGTTTGCACGTTGGGCGCGGTTAGCTCCAACCACTGCCGCGGCCTGCGTGCTGGCCTCGACGCTGGCCCCCCTGATTCTTCGCCCCCGATTGCGGTCGGACGTTTCCGCCCCTTGCTCGCTGTCTAGCACCCGGAGGTCTGGGGAACCAGCCGTCGGCCACGCAATGCCTGCTACGGCGATACACAGTTGTAGAACGTTGACGCGCGGCAGACAGATAGACCTGCGCGCTGCAGGCGCGGGGAACGATTGGAATGTTGCAGCGTTTACGTTATTCTTCCATAACGTGCAAGACTCGTCGAAAGATGCCATTGCGCGCCTCAGTGGCGGTGGCGCGCCGGCCTCAGGCACGGATGCGAAGCTCCGCGCCTTTGGCTTTTAAGATAGCCAGCATCGTTGTTTAGGCGCCAATTCCATCGGAGTACATAACAGTACCTGGGATACGTTGCATCCAGCATTGGTGATGGACGTCAGATATAGCACGCGTCGCCCTGCCGGCTACCTGTTGGCCGGCAGCCCAACGAATGCATCCATCGATGATCTAGAAGACGATACGTTGCACGTAAAACATCAGACCGCAATTTGCAGGGGAGGCTGATTGATGGCATGAATGCGTTGCGCGGATTTTCCAAAGCCCTGCGCTCACGACATGAGTCAACTACTTTTTTAAATCATGTTCAATCGTACAACATCTAGCCCTGTTCTCCATGGGGTCGCGCGCATCTTCGGTTCGGGGGCGGGGAGCCACCGTAGGTGGAGCTTGCGTAGTTCCTTTACTACGACAGACGGATTGAAGCTGCACGAGTTTGGGAGACCGACCTGAATGTCGAATCTAGACCTGGCCTCAGGCAGTCTCGCACGCGCCCGCGCTTCGGCTCGAGGCGGAGGAAGAGGCGGCGCTCCGCCGCCCCCCCCCCGCGCCCGCGCCGCCCTACGACGCGCGGTGGACCCGAAGAGCTGCCAGCGCCAGAGCTGCTAGCACCGCTGCCGCCAGAGCTGCGCGCACCCAGTGTCACATCGCAGCGGCAGCTGGCACCCACGGACGGGCGCCCGGGGTTTCCGCGCGCAGGTAGAGGCGCGCGCGGCCGCGAATAGCACCACGACCTCTGTCGCGCAGGTAAATATTCTGCTGGTGCTGGTGCTTCGTCGAACAATTCGTCTACTGGTGCTTGCGCCGCCGCTGGCGCAGCGGCCGCCGGTGCAGGTGCACCGTTCGCCGGTGCTGGCGCGGCGGGCGGGGCGCGTCCGAAGTTGTCTGGCAGTCGCCAGGGATTGGCAAATCTACATTTGCCTGGCGTCAGCAGGTGGCCCCGCCTGTCCAAACCAATCTCTTTTGCAACTTGGGCACTCCCAGTGATCGGTTTACCTGTGGGTCGCGGTCGTGCCGCGGCGAGTTCACGCGCGCGTTGTCGGCGCGCGCTGGACACCCCAGCCCGCTCGACGGCGGTCGGCGAACTGACCCAGCAGCTTCTCGAGGCACCGTAGGATCGCCATGGCCATACCCAGCACTGTTTACCACGAAGGTGCTTGTCTCGTTCGGACATGCGAATGGGCTCTTACCTCGCACAAAAAGCACTCGCAGAATCTAGACCGCATCAACGATAAGATCTTCGGTGCGTGTCGGGCCGCCTGCGCTGATTCTCTGTTGCATGCTTGGACGCGCTCGCGCTGGCCAGCGCATCTGTTGTTTAAGGTTCTAAGGGCTGCTCTCTGATTAACATCTATTTCGGCGGGCTTCCTGACGAGCGCCGTGAGAGGCTCACAACCCTGTCGAGCATTGGTCAATGATTTGCGCGCAGGTAGTCTTGTTTTTGGCGAGGGTCGACCATGGGGCAATCGCATCTACCCACGCACCAAGCGGTTGTTCCCTGAGGAATACGCGTTGCAGGTGGCCCTGCACAACGGCGACCTCACCACGGAAAATAATGCGAGGAAGGTCCCCCCCTGTGGTGCTTTGACTAAGTGTCGCGGTTCACGTCTGCGTTGAAATAGGAGGGCAGACCTGCGTCTCTGGAATTGAGCTGTAGCATTACTACTGTGACAAAGCAGGCGTGCTGATAGTGTTCCACAGCTTGTTGTATTCGTGGGTTTCCTGGGTCGACGTTGATGAGTTTGTCTAACACCGGAGCTCAACTTCCTCTTGAAGACAAAGTGACATACGCTGCCGATGCCTCCACAGAGTTCCAACAGATCTACGCAGTTGCCCCGTCCATAACACACGGCGGGGACGATCCCAAGTATCTCGGCCCGCGTGTCCGCCGATTGGTAGTGTTAGAGGAAGGGATGGCCGTCGCATTCAGAATCAACTTCCTCTGTTAGAACATCGAAAAATAGAATGACACATCCTAGCCCCCTGATGTCATCACCACAGTCGTCGTTGCCGTCTTTGGCCTGTTTGGGTATCCTCTGCCCCTGCGATGCCGGCTGCCTCGTCAATTTTTTGATAATTTTGTTTTAACCAGGCATCGGTAGGCAATGCCGTCTGCGTTTATGGCGCGTCCGCCTCGAAAGCCGGGAATGGTGAATGTATTTGAAGACCCCCGTCAAGCCCAGTCGAGAGGGGGGGATCGCTCATTTATGATGCACGCAACTCGCTTCCTCGAGCACGTCGCCTGCCTATGGCCGAGCATGGTTGGGGCCGCGGGTTCCCAGTACAATCGCGCACATAATTTGCGAACGCCCGATGGTAACGGCGCCTTCCAGTCGCATACTGTTGGTTGCTCTTGTAGCAGAATATATTAGATCACATTTTTATATCAGCGTTTAGGGCTAAACGATGGACTACGTCGCCCCCATTTGGTCCGCTGGCGTTCGATTGAAAAGAACTATTCACTCGTACGCGCGGGTGAAAGCACTTCAGATTACATGTTTGATCCGGTTGATCCACCAGTTGTGCTTTCAGGAATGCCGTGGCTGCGTTTCGCCACTTAGCATAATGTCGGCCGTGTCCGCATCAATCTACTTGTTGATTCCTGACAGATGTACAAGTGCATGTCCATAGGTTTGTCGGGATTTTAGGGCACGAGGTACGTACCAGTATATATGAGCCACTTGGCCTCTTATCGGCACGAACGTACTTGATACCGAAGTGGCAGAGACGCATCTGGATACCTCTGAGATTTCGGCTCTCAAGAGCATCTCGCATAGGTCCGAACGTTCACAAATGTATCAGTGGTCCCATGATCACCACTTGCATCCTGAGAGCACGCGCTGTGGCCAGGAGGTTCAGTACATGTAGTCGGCGGCGCAGTTCGCGGCCATCCCGCGATCACTGCCAAGTGGTTTTGACAGGGAAAGCGCGTGGTGGCGCATGGCCTGCTGTGCGCAGGCCCACCAGACACAATGATGGGCATTGGTTTTCGACAAGGATGGTGGGGGCCTACATGTTTCCCGATGTATGCTGCCACGTGCGCAGGCGCACCTGACGCACTCTGCACGTGCCCCGAACGTGGCGCACCTGGCGCGGCTGGAGTATGCGGCACACTTGGCGCACGCGGAGCACGTGGCGCATCTGGCGCACCAGGCGTACCTGGCACGCTCGGGCCCCAGGGATGCCTGGCGCGCGTGGCGCGCCTGGCACGCGTGGCGCACCTCGCCCAAGCGTCGCGCACAAAGGATCGGTTTTGCTTCCCAGTAACTGCCCGTCCAAAGACGACCGCTGAACATGCTCAGGCTCGGGTGTTACTTATGTGCTGGGAGGGCGGGTGGGGGTGAGCTAGACGGCTTGCTATCTAGGGGCTGCCTTAAACCGCTCTCCCTACCCCCTACCCTGGACCTGGACGCGGGGGGCGGCGAGGGGTTGGAGCGTCCAAGATGGCCCAAGACGGCTCCGAGAGGGCCACTGAGTCCCAGATGAGGTCCATGATGGCTCAAGAAGGCGCACGATGCCTCAAGATGGCTTCAACGATGCTCCAAGAGGCCCCAAGAACACTCCAAGAGGCTCCAAGAGGCCTCCGAGACCTCCAAGAAGTCCCCCAAGAAGCCAAAATCCTTCGAACATTCCAGGAACATCAATGATGTTTGCGGTTTCGCCTCTTCGCTTCCATTGGCCATCCGAGGCCTCAAGATGGCTCCAAGATGGCCCAAGAGAGCCCCAGGAGAGGCCCGCCCAAGAGAGCCCCAAAGGCGGCCCCGAGAGCGCCCAAGAGCGCCCCAAGAGCGCTCCAAGAGGGGTCCAGGAGGCGATGGTCGGTGCTCCCGAGGGTGGAGGCTAGTTGAAGCTCCCCTTTTTTTTGATCGATGTCCTCCAGGATGGCCCCAAGAGCGCCCCTGAAGCCCCCCAGAGCGCCCCAAGATGGCCCACGAACGCGCCCAGACGGCCCCAAGAGGCCTCCAAGAGGCTCCCAAGAGACCCCGCGCGAGACCTCAAGAGGATCCCCGAGGCACCCAACTCTCCCTCGTTGTCCTCCTTTTCCTCCTTCTCGTCATCCTCGTCCTCGCCCTACTCCACCTCCTCCTCCTCCTCCTCCTCCTCCTCCTCCTCCTCCTCCTCCTCCTCCGATGACGACGACGACGACTCCATCATCCCCCTCTTGGGGCATAAGACGACTTCCCCCGCCCTTTTGTTCTTCCGCATGCTCTCCCACTTCCCTGATCACCTCAACTCCCCTGGGCATCATTTCTGGATGGGCTGGCGCGGATACTTTTTGTCGCAACCGCAGGCGAGAGCGCCGACGGCGAGTAAGGTCCGAGCGGGCCGCGCAAGAGGGCTGGTGCGGATACGCGAAGCGTCAACCATTTCGCTTGATGGCGGCAGTGAAACGCGCACGACTCATGGCCGCAATTGCAACGAGTGGACGCGATGCGCGATTGGAGCTGCGCACAAGACATCCCTCGCAGGTACTCGAACCACAGCGTTGGCGCGATGCGGGGGCGCAGACAGACCGACGAGAATGGTATGCCGCTGTCTTTCTGAACCGCGCTGCCAATGGCAATACTCAGATCGGCCGCCCGCTAGCGCGAGAGCTGTCCCAAGGGTCTCTAAGGGCCCACGTTCTAGCGCACGGCACTGCTAAACTAATCAAAACGACGTGCACGAGGACTGCACGAGAAAAGCTACGTAGCCAGAAGAGATGGGCGATAGGGCTTGAAGCAGACGGAGAAGAACAGCTGCTTCCTAAACTAATCAAAGCGACGTGCCCGAGGACTGTTCAGAAGAAGCTACGTAGCCACAGGGATGAGTGGTAGGACTTGAAGCAGACGGCGAGAGGTAGAGAGAAGACGAATTGCGCACAAGAGTCCCACGGCTGACGGCTCACAGCCTTCCGCATGCCCATCGCACACGACGACTCGGTGCTCACCGGCACGCGCCGCGGCAGAAGCCGGAGGTGTACGTGTTGTACTGGTCGGTGTTGTCCTGGGCAGGGCAGTACAGGTTCGCATCCTTGAGCCAGCACTGCTTGGTGGACGTCTGGGTGGACTGGATGAAGGTCCACCCCTGGCACCCGTCCGTGCTGCCGCAGAGCTGCTCGCAGCTCGACGCGTCTCCTCCGTAGCCGGAGCCCGGCGAGCTGCCCATGTTGCTGCCGCCGTTGTTCTTGCCGGGAAGCGGCGAGGCGCACTCGGACCCCGGACTCGGGGGGCTCGGGGTGGGGCCTGGGCTCGAGCACGCGCCGTTGCAGAAGCCGGAGGTGTACGTGTTGTACTGGTCGGTGCTGTCCTGGGCAGGGCAGTACAGGTTCGCATCCTTGAGCCAGCACTGCTTCGTGGACGTCTGGGTGGACTGCATGAAGGTCCACCCCTGGCACCCGCCCGTGCTGCCGCAGAGCTGCTCGCAGCTCGACGCGTCTCCTCCGTAGCCGGAGCCCGGCGAGCTGCCCATGTTGCTGCCGCCGTTGTTCTTGCCGGGAAGCGGCGGGGCGCACGAAGACCCTGCACGCGCACCGTGCGCCGTGATGCTCCTGCCCTGGCTGTTCCCCGTCTGCAGGAGGGCGGCCTCCTCCGCGCCGCTGCTGCAGCTCTCGTCGGCGCCTGCTGCGAGCGCCAGCAGCGAGAACGCGACGAGCAGCGAGGCACGCGCCATGGACTGGTGGAGGCCCGCGGGCACCGACCGGACGCAGCTGGGAGACTCTGTGCGCCTGCGTGCTCGGGCCAGTGGTCCGCGGGCGGCGAGTCCCCAAGATCTCACTACCTCCGTGGGCCGAGCGAGGCAGGTCTTCGGAAGAGGGTCGTGGGGGTCGTAGGAGGACGGGGGGGGGGATGGGCACGGCTGCGGGGGGGGGGGGGGGCGGGGAGCGGCGCGCCGCAGCTCGCGGACAGGGGAGCGGCGAAACGGCGAGGGCGGGCAGGAAAACCAACGGCTTCTGGGGGATCTCTCGGGACGTCCGGGGGCCGTGTCGTGGGCCGGGGCCGTCTCGTGGAGCCGTCCCGGGGCCGCCTCGGGGGCCGCTCTCGCCCCTCGGGGGGGGGGGACCTCCGCGGAAGAGCCCCAGAATCCCTCGAAGGCTCGCCTCGGAGAGGGCCCCAGGAGGCTGCCGAATTGGCCCACGACGGCCCAAGAGGGCCTCGAAGGGGGCCCGTGAGACCCACGAGGGCCACGGAGGCCTCCACCTTCGCCCAAGAGTGCCTGCCAAGTTCGCCCAACGTGGTCTCGAGACGGTCCAGGATGGCTTCCAGGCGGGCCAGTCGGCTCCCGCGACGGGCCAGGAGGGCTCCAAGAGGCCCTCCCTGGCGGCAGCCACGAGGCCGCAACCATGAAATGTCATGGACCGTTGGGATGATCTCGTCTGGAGGATGTGTTGCGTTCTCGACTTTTCCGGCTTCCGACGGCACAAGACGGCCCGAGAGGAGACGGCCCGAGAGGCCACCAAGATGGCCCCAAAACAGCCCTGTAGAGGTCCCCCAAATTGCCCCTGGACGGACCAGGAGGGCTAAGGACGGCCCCAAAAGGCCCCCAAGACGGCTCCCAAAAGGCCCTGAGATGGCCCCCAACAGACCTCCAAGACGGCCCGAAATCTCCCCAAGAGGGCCCCAAGACGACCCGGAGACGCTTTCCCGGAGGCGTCTGGCGGCCCCAAAGGAGGCCTTCAAAGCCCCAGGAGGCCCCGAACCTTCAAAAAAAAAACCTAAGGGGGACCCAACAGGCCAACAAGAAGCCTTCTCCCCCCTCCCCCCCTCTTCCCTCTCTTCCGCCTCCCATCGTCCCCTTCTGAATCTTCCGAATAGGAAAGAATATGTCACAGCGCAACCACAGGATGGAAGGTCTAAAAGGTTACTTGGCCGGCTTGGAGCATCCCGTACGGGGCTTCCCCGTATGAGCAAATCGAGCCAGCATGTGTCAATCGTGCTGGGGTGCAGAGCATATGGACACCTTGCCCCAATCCTTCTCCCTCGTCCTCCTTACCCCTTATCCTCCTTTCCTTTTTCCTTCCCCGTCCGCCTGCTCTCTCTGCCTTTTTAGGGGGAATCCTCTTCCATAAGCCTCCTCCTCCTCCTTCTCCTCCTCCTCCTCCTCCTCCTCCTCCTGCTTTTCCTCCTCCTCCTGCCCCCCCCCCCTCCTCCACCACCTCCTCCTCCCCCTCCTCCTCCGCCTCCCTCCTCCTCCTCCTCCTCCGCCTCCTCCTCCTCCTCCTCCTCCTCCTCCTCGTCCTCCTCCTCTTGTTTCCTCCTCCTCCTCTCCTCCTCCTCCTCCTCCTCCTTCCCCTCCTCCTCATTATCCTTTTCCTCCTCCTCCTCCTCTCCTCCTCCTCCTCCTCTTCTCCTCCTCCTCATTATCATTTTCCTCCTCTCTCCTCCTCCTCCTCCTCCTCCCCTCCTCCTCCTCCTCCTCTTCCTCCGCCTCCTCCTCCTCCTCTTCTTGCTCCCTCCTCGTGTTCCCTCCTCCTCCTCCTCCTCGTCCTCCTCCTCCTCCTCCTCGTCCTCCTCCTGCCGGACCCCTCCTCCCCACCCACCTCCAACAAACATCCATGAAGGACCATTCCAACGCGATGTTCAATATCTCCACTACGCGAGGACACCAAAAAGTCCTCCGACCCCAGCTCGCTGAGGGTGACAAAGCGCGCGAGGCCGCTGGCTGTCCAGGTTTTCCCACTTCTTCCCTCCCCGGGAGCCTCAAAACCAATTTGATGGTGAGGAAGAATGAAAAGCGATGGTCGGGGAGGTGCAAGCCGAGACCCTGCTTGAGATGACGACGCGCACGCATGACGGCACCCCAAAGTTCATCCATTCTTGTTGGGCAGGACGTGAAATAAGAGACAATGAATGAGAGATGGTAGTGGATCATCGGTGGATGTGGCTTCTATCCAACAGCTCCGATCCGGTAGTGTCTTTCTCGCCTACGCAAAGCATGCACACAGGGCAGCGCTACCTGGAGCCAGGTGGCGCCGGACGCAGGCACGACGATCGTTCTACTAGCCCTTGTTTGACCTCCATCAAAGTCAGGAGGGGTGGAGCCCACCGTCGAGCCACGCCACATTAGATAATACAGCAAGGAAATAAGTAAGATAGGGCGGTCGATGTTCGACAACCCTAACAGTACAGTGTCTAGGCAAGACGAGGAATAGCACAGAGTACTAGGGTCGGCCATGGTCATTCCACATGGCCAACCGCAGATAATCAAGAGGACGCCTGACCAAACCGTCAGACGTCCAAACGCGCGGTGTGGCAAAAAGATGCCTGACCGAACTGTCAGGCATCAAATCTGTGTGGTTGAGCGAAAAAGAGAAAACCCGTGTCCGAGCTGATACTGATGTACTGCTCGTGTCCGAACATGCGTTGGCTTTACCCGCTAGCCTTGATTGGGCCATGGCTACGTTTGTGCTGCTGTGTTGCCTCGGTACGCATACCTCTCTAGCTCGTATTTGAATGGCTGTATTCCTTCCACGACTTGCAGTAGCAGCTCACGATCAATACACCCTTTGGCATGACCGTCGGCTGTCACATCCCGCGCATCACCCCACTGCGCGCTGCGAACGATTCCTCGACCCATCACTTGTCGGATCCAGCCGATATATCCTAGCAAGGTACATTCGGTTGATTTCTTCAGATCCTTATAGGGACGGGAGAAGCGATTCGGCGTCCAAGGCGAGGAATTATTTTTATGCTTAGACCACCGATCTCTGACTGAGATGTTCTTGAGTTGCGTTGGCGTCAGCGGTCCAGTCTTGAGCTCGCGCAGTGTCACAATGTCAGGGTAGCAGTCTTCCAAGTTACGAACTGCTGCTAAGGTTTCAGCCGAGTAGCTGGAGCGCACCTGCAAGCGGCGCGACATGCAGCGAGCGTCGATCAGGCGCGCGACCGCCCCACCGCAAGGAGCGCGCCCGCGCGGCAAAGGGTTGGCCCCTCGGACGCCACGCCCCTCAGCCGCGTCATCGGCCCCGCCGTTGAGGCGACGATCACCGGAATCGCTGCGTAGGTCCACTCCTCCTGTCGGAGTCATAAATTTGTATATGCTTCCTTTGGAGCCGATTGTAGTCTGCGCGTCACGGCATTGGGTCTTCGCGCTCGTAAGTCGGCGTTTCTTGGGCACGCTGTAGTGGGACCACGTATACCATCAACCACACATGCGTGATCAACGCATACGCTAGAAGCACCACGTAGGCTGATGAACAGGTCAGATATTGTCGTCGTCGCCTTATCTTCTGCTTCAGCGACAGTGCGTTCTGGGTGCTGTACGGGGCGAAATTGTTGTCTTGTCATCCGGATTTAGTTGGACGCGGCCGCCCTCGGTCTTGGCGCAGCGTACGCCGCAGTCTGCGCATATGATTTTGTTGATCTACATGCGCCGAACGCGCTCCCTACACACTCGACGCACTTGTTAATCGTACCATCAACTCCTTTCATATGTGCGTCGTCACCGCGCTTGGCCGTTGAGAGGTCTGGTTTCGTCTCAAACCCATCATCGCATGAGGTGGGCTCAAGCACAAAACCTCCCGATGGTTCTGAATTCAAGTCAGACTGCCCCAGGGGCATCGGTGGCGACCGCGCCTGGCCCCGGGCACCGTAAGCAGCGCCTTAATTCACCATGAGACGCGAACCCAGGCAACGCGCGCGACACCGGACACAGGCGGGAGAGCGAAGCAGAACATGCACTCTCTCCACTGGTTTTACGATAGGCCAAGCAATTCAAGTAGGATTTGTCGATGTCCACGGGAGCTATGATCCATGACTTCTCGCGCGCGGCCGCGCTCGCGAGCGGTCTCCGATTTGCTCGGCGAGCAGTGCCTGAAAAGGTGTCTACATCGAAAGCTTCGACGTCAATGAAGCCAAGAATAGCAGGCGGAGTCTCATGGCCCCGTCCGTCTCGCCTTGGTCGTTCTTCGCGAACCTCCATGTGCGCGCATATCTGGATGTCAGAATGCCAATGGCATGTTCAATATCCTGCATCTCGAAGCACTTGTTGCGCCCGCTTGGCCGCATTCGCCTGCATTCCGGCCTTCGTCAAGAGGTCGCCACCCTTGACGACCGCAGCTCTCTCGGTTGCGGCTGGCACATACACGCGCGCAGCGGTTATCTGGCCGCTGCGAAATGAATTGCGCCGCTGCTCCGCCAGGGCAACTTTGGCCCCGTCAGGAGCAAAGCTCTACATGCGGACCGTGTTAGTCCGAGTCCAACTTGTATGTTTTGTGATATTCGGTGATACATGGCACTAAGAATGTCTCGACGGCGCCAACGCGGCGATCACGGCCTACTTCACGCAAGCGCCCTTGCTCTTCACTGGCATGGTTGTCGGAAACGATGTCTGCGGGCACTGCGACAAGTCTAGAAGTTGAAATGCGACCGTCTCGAGTAATCCCTTTTCTCCCTCTTCTTCTTGTACACAGTTTCCGTGATATGCGCTTCTATGTCCATGTCCGACTCCTCATCAGTAGCCTGGAGCCCACCATCGAGCGCGGCCGGGGCAAAGGGGCGCTCTTCCCAGCGAGCGTTGCCGCCCGATGCTGGCGCGCCCGCTAGTTCCTCA